TCACTGTGAGGTAGTTTAACTTCCCAACTATCCTTCTATACCTCTCTGGATTATCAGAAGGGTCGCCATCTTTCATGAGATGCACATTGGGAACCATTGGAGTACTGCAAGGTTTGGCTACCAATTTTCCAGTTTTTGCAAGTAGGTCAAGAACATACTTTCTCTGAGATAGAAGAATTCCCTTCTTGCTTCTATTTACTTCTACTCCCAAAAAATATTTCAACTGCCCCAAGTCCTTCGTATGAAACTTAGTATGTAAGAAAGACTTAAGGGAAGAGATCCCCTCAGAATCACCTCCTGTGATGATAATGTCATCAACATATACAACAAGAAGGATAGTGCCAACTTCAGATTGTCGGTAGAAGACAGAGTGATCACATTTGCTCATTTTCAGTCCAGACTCTAGTCCACCCATAAATTTGAGCATATCCTTTAGCTACAAGCCTGGCATTAAGGCTTGCCACGGAACCATCTGGCATAACTTTAACTGTTAACACCCACTTACATCCTACTGGTTTCTTCCCAATGGGTAAATCCACCAAATCCCATGTGTGATTTTCCTCTAATGCATGTATTTCCTCAAGCATCACATTTGACCATCCAGGATGATGCAAAGCCTCCTTCACTGTTTTGGGTACAAAAACAAAGTCTAGAGAAGCAATCAAGGATCTAGATGTAGGAGATAAGCGATCATAGGAAACAAAGTTAGCAATAGAATATGTGGATTTGCAAGTCCTTGTACCTTTACGAAGAGCAATAGGGAGGTCAAGTTGTTCTGGAGGATCAGATGGAGGACTTGGTGCAGGACATGTATCATCAGTCTCTCGTCTCCTCGAATAAACTTGAACAATTGGCGGTCTTGTTGGAACATGTGTTGGTGGCACAGTAGTCGAGTGGTGCTCAATAGAGTCACTAGGAGATGGAAGAATAGTATCACTTGATTCCATAACACGAGTAACATGATAAACTAACCACTCATCTTCTTTCCCTTGACTTGTAATTTTAGGAAGAGAACAGAAAAATGGTGTAATCTCTGAAAATACCACATCATTCGACACCAGATATTTGCCAAATTCAGTAGAATAACATCGATACCCCTTTTGAAGACGAGAATAACCCAAGAAAACACACTTCAATGCCTTAGGGTCCAACTTAGTAATAGATGGACGTACATCTTGAACATAACATGTACTTCAAAATACCTTTGGTTCCATCGGAAATAAAGACTTGTTTGGAAAAAGAACACTGTAAGGCATATTACCAACAAGCATTGTCGATGTCATGCGATTAATCAGAAAACAAGCCGTAGAGACTGCATCGACCCAAAATTGTTTAGGAACTTTCATTTGGAACAAAAGTGCTCGGGCTGTCTCAAGTAGATGTCTAATCTTCCTCTCAGCAACTCCATTTTGAGAAGGTGTATGTTACAAGATGACTGATGGAGGATACCGTATTGTCTCATGTAGGATTGAAACAACTCTGACATGTATTCTTTTGCATTATCACTCCTTAAAATATGCACAGAAGCATTGAATTGAGTTTTGACTTCAGCATAAAAGGCACAAAAGTGAGTAAACACAATAAATCCAAGTCATCCAAGAGAAATCATCCACAACAGTGACAAAATATTTATGTCCAGTTTTGGAAACAACCGGACATGGTCCCCAAACATCAGAATGAATTAACTCAAAAGCTGATTCAACTCGTTTATTAACCCTTGGACCTAATGTGATGCGATGATGTTTTGCAAATCGGCATGATTCACACTCCAAAGAAGGAACATTTTGAAACTGGGGACATAACTTCTTTTAATAAAGGTAAAGAAGGGTGTCCCAATCGACAATGTGCTTCAAATGGAGACAAGACACTTGAGCATGCAACAAATCGAGACTCATATTCATCAAGGATATATAGACCATCAATTACATGTCCTTTACCAATAACCTTATGCGTCGCAAGATCACGAAACAAGCAATGATTAGGAAAGAACGAAACATAACAATTAAGATCTCTAGTAAGTTTACTCACAGAAATCAAATTGAAGGTCAACTTTGGTAGATTTGATACAGAGGACAAGGTAATAGAGGAGATTGCTTTGACGGTTCCAGATCCCACAATGTTACATGTTGACCCATCAGCTACTGTTACAGGAGAGGGAGCTTTGTGTGATTGAAAGGTAGAAAATATGTTATGATTACCTGTCATGTGATCTGTAGCACCTGAATCAATCACCAAGTTGTTCGAAGATGAGACCACACATGCTTTTCTTGAATCAACAAGGATAGTAACTGCAGTGAATTCTTTAAGGGATTCTTGATACCGAGAGAACTCTGCAAACTGATCTGCCGAAACCAAAATTGTCTCTAAATTGTCTTATCCTTGTGATTTGTAGCCATATTTCCTCCTTTCTAATTGTTTGAGTTATATTTTTTAACTTAAATATCCAAAGTTAGCAATACAGGAGAATCCAGCAAACACAAACAGCAAATACAATCCAATACCAATAAAATAATTATAGTCGAGGCTCAAACTTCAAGAACAAAGAAGATGAGAGAGAACAAAGGAACCAAAAATCAAGAACTAGCATCCAGAAAACATTATTCATTCAATGTTTAACAGTATTCAACAATCGCAGCAGCACCAAACAGAATACCAGATCTGAATCTGGAAGTAACTTTCAAAAAAATATGAACCTGGAAGGTGAAAGTGTTCTCCAAACAGTGTTTCAAAACCAAACAAAACTGGGGGTACACCAGAAAGTATGATCTGCCTCCTACTGTGGCAGTGACTTTGAAAGTGATCGATTTGAAATCTGAGCTTGTTTCTGTAAGACAGCAAAACGAGATCGAGCTGCCTTTCGAAACAGAGAGAGAACATGATCAAGGAGCCTATAGGCTTTGATACCATGTAATCGAATAGAAGTAGATATCTTATTCCAATAGATAAGCAAGATATAAATACAATATACTCTGTGCTAATTTAGGAAAGAAAATAAAGAGGGATTCCTACAAATCTGCTAGCTAATTATGAGGGATTCCTACAGATCTACTAGCTAAAAATATGCCTATGTAGACTACTAAAATGATGTCTATATACATTTTGTAACAATTTTTATTTCTGTCACTTCAGAGTGGCTACATCAATTGGTCATTTTGAGAAATTTTGTCATCTTCAAGGCTAGCTGTTCTACCGTATACTTCATTCATTAGAAAGCTGAAAATTTTCCAATATACTTGTATACTTGGAGCAAATCAATGAAGATTCTGGTAAATAAATTGGTTAATTTTTCTATTTATGCTTCTCTAAAGCTTATGCTTTAGTCAAGAGATTCATAGAGTTGGTTGGAACATCAACTCAATCAAAACTCTCTTTCTGTTTAAGCCAACACTGTTGATTTTAACTTAGGGTCTGTGATATAAGTTCTCTGTGGATGCAGTTATGTAGGAAGTTGAAAATGTTGGCTTTCATTTTCATAGACTTTGATGTATGAATGATAAGTCCTATCATTTGAAATGAGTTAAGGAAGAAGGGAGACCAGAGATAAGATATACGAAATTCTTTGGGTATAACAGATTAAAGGAATGACTTGAGATAACTTGTATATACTTTTGTCTGAGAATTTGCATGGCTTCTCTGCTCATAAGCTAATTTATTAGATATATGTGAGCTTTTCTATTTCATGAATCTGTGTATATTCCCTTTCCCGTTTAGACTTCTCTTTGAGTTCATGCTTTTTGATGTTCAGTTTAAGTGCTTCAGTAACATGAGAACATTGGAAGATTTGTTTAATTGTGACAGTTGTTAAAGTTGAAATGGGGAACTAACTCGATTTTTCTGTTGTCTCCTTCATTTTCAGCTCTAAATCCTGATAAATTGACTGAATTTATGCTGCTAGATCAAGCACCAGTTAGCCACAATACTCATCTATTCAGGTTATTTTTTTCTTTCTTTGTTATTTTGTAATTATGGCTTTTACACTTTGATAGTGACACATATTCCAGGTGGATTTTGCTCTCCCGTTAAATGTTTTCTCTAAACAGCTCTAGCTCACATCTTACTGTTTTATAGAGGAACAGTAGTATGGCTCTAGCACTATCATTTAGCTTTAAACTGTCGAAAAGCCTGGATCTAGAAGAATTAGTTTCAGTATCATGCTTCATATTATAGCACATTCAATTATTAAAGAAACTGGAATTAGAATTGGGAAGCATGTAGTCTTGATCTATCCTTGCTTGTTTGATGGCCATTAAAGCCCTATATATGGGGTGTGTATTTTAGATTCTGGTTGAAACTTTCTGTCATTTTTTTGGGGACAATGTGTGTGAAACAATACCTCAATCCTCTATTTTGCTTAGGTTAAGTAAATGCGAAACTGAGTTGCTGTCTAGGAGTTCTCGAAGAACGTGCATTCTGGAAATTCATTTATAAGCATCTTGAAGTGTTTATTTTGTGTAATTGCACTTCCTTTTTTTGTAAATAGCTTGTGTAAATGCATACCGCCTGAAAATTCACCTCTAGTAGTAGTATTTTATATATAGATTAAAGCTATCCAAAAAGATGGGTTCTCTTATCTCCTGATGTTCTATTTGACTTTAATGAACCAAACGTGAGTGTAATGTAATCCCAACAAAAATTTAATATTAAAATCTGTCTATTTTTCAAGGGGGGTGGGGGGAGTTTCCGATGCTTCAGCTCTACATTTCTATTTCATATTGATAGACCAAACTTTCCCGGAATCATGAGCTGCCACTACTTTATACTACATTTTTTACACTACCCATATATGTTTTTTAAGTTCCTTTTTTTTCCTATTATTTTTTCTTTATAGGGTGATATCCTTTAGAACCTTAAGATATCCTGGTTGCTGATAAACTTTTAGTGCTCTTCAATACCATGAAGTTTGTAAGTCTCTTCCTTTCTCTGCAAATTTGCCTTTTTCCAGCATATAATTGGAGTACATACTGACATCATGTTCACTGATACAACATTTGCAGACATGTTTAAGTGAGGGAACGGGCTGCTATTTTCCACCATGCCACATAGTTAATATAAGTGGTTTCCGGGTGTTACTGCCCTTTGGACCTTTCATCCCTAGCTGTATCCACTTGTTATTTCTTCCCTGCTTGATGAGAAAGCTTCAATTCAATGAGGCCAAAGTTCATCAAATTCAGAGTCTGTAGGACATGATGTTTCGGAGCTTCTTGATTCCAAAAGTTTGATACTGGCTGAGCCTGGTTTAAAACTGTGAAAAGCTTGCCGAATATTTATTCCATAGATCTAGTACTAATCTCAAGTCCGGTGGGTATGCTAGGGTGACCATTTCTTACCAGCCTCAAAGACTTCAGAGCAAAGGTGATAGAAAACATATTTTCTTACATTTTTAAATACAATGAACTTTATGCTGGTAAATATCTTTTTTGATGTGGTTATCTCATATGATATATGCAACGGAAGCAGCTTCCAGGCTTGGGAAACTGATGATGTATGCCCTTATTTCCATGCATATGGAATTGAGAAAATCCTATGGACCTGAAGAGTCTGGTTTCCCTCAATGGATCAGATGGGAAAACTTGAACTACTTCCTAGGGCACTAAAGGATATTGTTTTAGGCAGTGAAAGTATAGAGCTTGGTGGATGGCTGTCATACAGGTAACACTTCTTATTTCATTTAATAGAAATATCTATTTTCATCACACTTCTTGTGATTCATCAATTAGTGTGTTCCAACTTACCTGAACTACTCTGCTACTTCCACTTATGTTTTAAAATGCTAGTTGTGCTTAGATGTAAATGTTCTAGGTGATACAAACACATAAATAAAGTACCTTAAAAAATGAGGAACACATGATGCAGGGATCTCATAATTTTCTTCCACCAATACAAGCACACACCTTTTTAAACTGTAGAAAAGACTACATCTAGAATTATTAAACTTATTAAGATCGTGAACTATATAGGGGATTGCTAATATGAAGTAAGTTTTGCCAAATCTGAAACTGATCTCATCACCCATTGTGTTAGGCACTGATACCAAATTGTTATGAATTTTTAGGGAAGGATCGATTCACAGGGCGATATATAAATCAGCTCGTTAAAGGGAGGCTGAAACCTTAGAGTTCATTAAAAGAGAGAAATCCGATCTCTTCAGCTCTTCAACTTGAGACTGAAACCTTAGAGTTCAATGGAAGAGAGAACTCCAATCTCTTGCTTTTTGCTGAAAAATGACTTACTAGTTTATTCATCAAAATCCCCTTTAAATAAGAGTTTTATTACATTAATAGGAAGTCTAATTCTTATGGAAAGTAGGAGACCTAAATCCTATTCCAAACTAATAACTATAGCATAACCTAATCCTTATAAAACTATGAAATATAAACTCTATTCTAGAATAATAAATAAAGCTACTAAAATAATAATTAAATACTTAATTTAAGGGCTTCCCACGCATCCACAACAGCTTCTAGGTAGTGTTCCTTGTTGACGGGGACTCACACTTGAAGATAGTTGACAACTCAGTTGTTGCTAAATTGCTTAACAGATACTACATGTGAATTTACCATCTGCCCAATACTTGAAAAATCAGTACGCATCTCTTTCACATGGTCATCAGTTGAGTTAAACCTTTTCATCATCTTAGTCATCATATCCCCATACTCACAATCCATTCACCCAACCCCACATGAAAAATTAGTGCAATGCTCTCAATGCACAAATGATATAAAAACTTAGGGTTAGATAGACATTTGGCTCCCAAGCGCCGAAGAACTATTAAGAAGCTTGTCTTTGGAGCACCATGAATAGTGCCCTTCGATGCTAATGCTCTGACTGCTAACTCACGCTCTCGCTACTTCCTAAAGTCCTCATTTGCCTTTGATTTGTTTCCGAGCTGCCTTTAGTGCACATCGCACTCTTGTAGCCTCACTGCCCTCATCAATGTCACTAGGGGCATCATCCGCACACACTTTCCAGTCACACGGGGAGGGTCTTGAGTAGGCTCTTCATCCTCAAATAGGGCAGATATAACATCGCCTCCACCATTAGTGGGGGAGGCTTTGGTGAAAATGAGCTAGCATCCCCGGGGTGTGGCTAACTTAGTCCGGAAGGTGGAGAGATCTACAGTCGGCTCAGGTCAAGGCCTATCTAATTTCCGAAACTCACAAGGCATCAATTCTCCGTTGCATTACTTGAATCTTATCTTCAACAACATTCTCTCTCTTGCCTCCGTGTCCTCTACGACCTTTCTCATCCATGGACGAATATGCTGCAATAGAATCTCGATTTGAGTCCAATTTCTGGAGTCTGGTTAGCGACAACATGGCGAAACCTATAGGAATTGAAGCACGTGGTGTGCTCGAAGTCGGACTAGAGGAAGAAGATGATGGAGTAGTTTCATCAGGCTCAGTAATGGGGTTGAATTGTGCCCTCCTCTAACTTCTTTGGTGAAAGTGCTTCGACCGTAGGTGACATATCAATATGGATACCCTGACGTGGTGCTGTGGGGTAGGGCTGATCAAAATTGAACCGAAATTTTTTTTTGGTTTATCCGTAATGGGTTATTAGTTTAGCGATTTTGATAACGGTTTTGAGAAAGATGTAACTTGTGAACTCATGTGCATGATCCATATCTCTCATAGCTGCCTACTATTCCTGACTAGTTACATCTGATAAACAAACTCAGCTATATTAATTAGCTGCTCATGAGATGGGCTGTAAAAACTCACGGGGATGTCCCTTACGAGTGTGGATAGAAGTCAGGGCTGATCTTATTCGTTGGCCATCCTAGGCAATGTGTTTTTCTCTGTGGCTGCATATAAGGCATTGAACTCTCGTACCATGATTGGGCTATATTTGCTCATGCCTCTTCCATCAATTCACATTTGATCCGCAGCCTGACTCAGACTGTGTGTCATGTTGTGGACCCGAGCTGCCCTAGGCTGTGACTCCCCACTACCTTCTCTCGAACTTTGTGCTCCCTGCTCAGACTAGGAAGAACCATCATGGCTCGAGGAGTCGGACTCATTTAGCACCAGAATAATGTCTAGTTTCTAAATCGGTTGGCGTGTTTCCTCGGTGCCTTTGGTGAGTAATCCTCTAGGGCAGGGTCTAATTCAAACCAATTGAGTTCATTATCCGTGCATTTTTCAATAAGTTGAAGCTGGGCCGACGATGCGGTGGGTTTTGACCTTCGTCCATAAGTTTTGGTATTCATTGGTGGCATAGTACCTGCTTGAATGAAAATAAAACTACGAAACCAAAAGAAAACAAAAAAAAAAATTTTGCAAAAATATTCACTGCTTGGTCCTACGATTGGTTCTTACAGATCGTAGAACTTCTACGGGCCGTATGACCCAACCTTACCAAAAGAGGTCAACTTGTTTAGTTGCTGAAGTTGAAATGACTGTTAACTAGTACGGTTCGTCAAAGGTTCTACGGACCGTTAGCCAAACCGTCATTCCAAACTTAGGCTATTTTTTGTTCTTCAAGATGACGAGACTTGATCTACAGTCGGTAGGAATTCCTACGTCTCGTAGATCCAAGTCGTCAACCCTAATATTAGGAGTTTTTAGGATCAACTTTGTATTAACACATCTTCAACATCATATCAGCCTATTCCATCACAAACATGGATTTCAACACAGTAATTTTCAATGTAATTCCGTCATCTATAGGGCTTGTACTTATCAATTAATCACAATAACAAATAGCACCATCACAAACTCTTTGTCAAGAACACAATTTGAAGTAATTTGTTTCACATATTTACACATAATCGACAACACTCGCATCTACTTGCTTCCCAAGGGTATACTTTAATTAATTTAGGCATACAAAACAAGCATCACATACCCTAGGTCAAGTAGCAACTTTGAATTCAAGTAATTGAATCTAGTTAGGCTTAATTCCATACCTTTATATGAATTTCCAAGTTGTGCGAGTGCATCACTTAGATGTCTAGAACTTTGAAAACCAACTTAATAATTGCCCTGTCCCGCACTGCCTTGAATATGAGTAAAGGAAATTTGGGAAAAATGGAAGATAGGAGAGGTAAAAGGAGAAGATGGGAGGAAAGGATTAAATAGTGGAAGTTGGAATTGTTAGGGATGGAGTTTGTGTGTGAAAGAGTGGGAAATGTGAGAGGTTGTAAGGGTTGGGAATTGAGGGAAATGGGGGATGAATGTAAAATTGAAGGTTTTTATTAAAAAGGGTCGCGGGTCAGGTCATTAATTTTAAACAGACAGGTTTGACGATAAACCATTTATGGTCCGTAATAATTCCTACGAACTGTCGAAGGCCTCCGTCGTTCTACTCAACACTAGGAAAAAATTCAGGAAACATACCTGGGTCTACGGATGCAGACTACGGACCGTCAAAGTTTAAACTGTTCGTATTGTGCATCTGTAGACTTAAAGTTATTATTGTGTTAGGACTTAGATTCTACGGATGCCATCTACGGTTTGTTGAATGAGCAACGACTCGTAGATGAGATTTAAAACCCTCTACACTTTGAAATTTTGCAGATTTTTCTTTCTTTCTTGCACATGTAGCAAACTTAGGACTTCTTTTTACATTTTCTTGACACCTTTTGGACACGAACCCTAAACTATCCTATTCTAGCCAAAAATCAAACTTGAGAACGAAAAATGTCAATAAAAAAATAAAATAAAATAAAATAAAATAATTCAAACTAGCTAGATTACATCTTGGGTTGCCTCCCAAGTAGCGCTTGATTTAACTCTCACCTTTTGAATCTTGTTCCTTCCTCATTCTCAAGTTCAACCGCTCTGTGTGTGTGACAGCACTTGTACAACTCTGAATGATCTCGTCCTCTTTGATTTGAGCTTGTCAGGAAATAAGCGCAGCCTTTAGTTGAATAGAAGTACCAAATCACCGGGATTAAATTCTCGCTTTTCAATCTTTTGATCATGATACTTCTTCATCTTCTCCTTATACACCTTCAAAGCCATTGGAGATATCCCATTTACCCAAGCTGTAGGAAAAACCCTCATTTTAGTTATTCTATTCATCACCTTGACTCTAATTTCTTCTAGCATAGACACAATTGCCTTATGTCTAGCTGCCTGCTAATATCCAAGCATTAAAACTTTCAGCCATATTATTAACAACACTATCACATTTGAGAACTCCTTGAAGTACACTTTGCACCATCTTTCAATGTCATATGTGATATTTTCCACAATTTTTCTACCCAACCTACTTAACGCACCTTCCCTGACCTTCAATTCAGATTCAAATGTTTCCCTAACACACTTCTAGAACTTTTTCCTTCTTTCAATACCCTTCCATTTCTTTGACCAGTTTAACAGAATGTGTCAAGCACACATTCTGTGCTCACAAGCAAGAAATACTTCCTCAGCAGCACTAATCAAATCCTACAAAAAATCATAAACAATGGTATGTATATGATGTAAAATCTGTAGTAACTAAGCAAAATAAATAGTACAGTAACTAATTTATATGATATTGGTAAAAATAGTAGGTAACTGTTTAGCAAAATAAACAGTAACTAACTACTAGGAAAAAGCAGTAACTAATCCTACAGTGAATTTTATGCTTTGACTTGTTGTTTATACTAGTTGATTAAAATGTTAAATTGAGCTAAATTTAATCAAGAAAAAAGGGCAGAAAGGAA